TCAAAACCGTTTGAGAGAGGCGGGGCATAGAGGACCTACAATAATGTACAGTATTTGAAAAATAATGTGTTTTTTGAACATTAAAGCATGTCAACATATTCTGTTTCACCAAATACACAAAATAATGATCTTTAAAATAGCATCATATGACCCCTTTAAAGTTTGGGTCGAAACGTTGCATTAATAAATTCCTTGGGAGCAGTCTTATCAGTGTGCGGACAATTTTTTGTTTTGTTTGTATTTATCTTATTTTTGTCCTGCACCTGAGCCTTCGTGTTTTTGGGATGTGCATGCTTTTTTGTATTTTTGACTTATAAAGTTTAAAATAGTATTTTTCCTCACACACACCAATGGTTTTGTTTTATAAGACATTATTTTAACAACTGGGGTCAACTGGGCTACGGATTACCGCTGTGTTTGTTTTGTGTGGTTTTAGAAGTGTCAACTTTGAGGGGTACACTTACATTATATGGACTCACAGAGATGGATTATTTTTCGAATAAAGACTGTTTGTGTTCCACAAAAGTAAGTCAGTCATATACATCTGGGCCATCAGGAATGTGAGTTTAACGATCCCTTTAAGTTTGTCATCAAAGTGAACTGAAAAAAATCCCCAAGAAGAAACACTGTGTCGATAATTTAATGTTCCGATTTGATCAGAACAAGTTCCCAATCCACAATCTTATCACTGTTCTTTTTCATGTTAGCTTTTGTGAGCAGTAATGCCAAAATAATTTCCCTATTTTAAAAATGTAGCCAAACAAGGTAGCAAAAGTAAAAGAATGACAGACCATTTAAATAGAGATATTAGTATCAAAAGAATATTAAAAGACTAGATCACTAGTTGGCATGTTGGCTTTGATTTATTTGTCAAAGTGTTTAGAGATCATTTAACAAATTTAAAGATCAATTGTACACTAAACAGATATTTTAAGGGATCTTTTACACTGAAATATTTATATCTAATTGAAAAAATCAGCATATGGAAATTAAGTTGCACATAACCCTGTCTGATCTATTTGGAACCGTTAAACTGTGTAACTTAAAGGGATAGTTCACCCAAAAATGTAAATTCTGTCATCATTTACACACCCTCATGTTGTTCCAAACCTATATGCCTTACTTTCTTTCATTGTAAAAAAGTAATTTCATTTCATTTTGTCAATACAATAAAAGTCAGTAGAGAGGTTTACATCACCATATCAAGAGTAAATGATGACAGAATTTCCATTTTCAGGTGAAGGATCCCTTTAAATTTATACACATTTATGGTACCTCAGATTTCTGAGGTAAGCAAAACTTTTCCCACACTTGTCACACACATATTGCTTCTCTCCTGTGTGAATATGCATGTGAGCTTTGAGTGAATTCGACTGGTTAAATTCCCGCCCGCATTCGACACATCTGAACGGCTTTTCTCCGGTGTGTATGCGCTGATGTCGACGGAGATTTCCCAAGGTGCAAAAACCTTTCCCGCATGTGTCACAACTAAAAGGTTTTTCGCCTGTATGTGAGGTCTGGTGAGCCTTAAGGCTGTTCTGCTGCCGAAATGTCTTCCCACACACCAAACAGATATAGGGCTTTTCTCCTGTATGAATCCTTTCGTGAGTTTTCACACCAGCAACACTCCGAAAGGACTTTCCGCACAAACAACAGCTGTGTTTGTCAGTCACCGAGTGTTTGTGCTGGTGAGATTTCAAGGTGCTGATGGAACCAAGGGTCTCGCTGCACACTGTACAATTGACCGGCAACTGTCCCTCGTGAATCGGGAGATGCGTTTTTAGGGCGTTTAAGCAACCCAAGACCATCCCACATACAAAACAGTGGTGTCCGTTTTGTCCCGCGTGCTTTCCCTCATGCAGCTGAAGCAGAAACTTCTGGACAAAGCCCTGATTGCACATTTTGCATTTGTGTGGTTTCTCACCAGTGTGTTTGTGCTGGTGAGATTTCAAGGTGTTGATGGAACCAAGGGTCTCGCTGCACACTGTACAATTGACCGGCAACTGTCCCTCGTGAATCGGGAGATGCGTTTTTAGGGCGTTTAAGCAACCCAAGACCATCCCACATACAAAACAGTGGTGTCCGTTTTGTCCCGCGTGCTTTCCCTCATGCAGCTGAAGCAGAAACTTCTGGACAAAGCCCTGACTGCACATTTTGCATTTGTGTGGTTTCTCGCCAGTGTGAGTTACATTGTGTGCCTTCAGTGAGTCGAGCTGGTTGAAACTTCGCCCGCACGTCTGGCAGGTGAACGGCTTCTCACCTGTATGAATTCTCTGGTGGCGAAGTAGGTTGTTACGAAAGTGGAAGCTCTTCCCACATTCGTCACATTTATGCAGCTTCTCTTTCGAATGCACGACCAAATGCTTCCTGAGACAATAAGCTTGATGAAAAGACTTCCCACAAACTTGACATGTAAAAGTCTTGTCTTCGTTATGAATCCTCAGGTGACCCTTCAGCTGTTTGTGTTCGGTGAAGGTCTTGCCGCATTGACTGCAAACATAAGGGCTCTTGTCAGTATGAAGCTGGTAGTGTACATCCAAACTGCCTTTACTGCCAAAACGTCGACCACACTGCGAGCAGCTAAAGGGTTTCTCTGCTGCCACATGAATGACCTGATGAGCTCTCAACAGAACAACCGAGTCAAATTTCCTTCTACATTGTTTACAGCTGAGCGGTTTACCTTTCATCCGACAGCTCACCTGCACACCTCGGCTTTTTGACATGCTTACACTTCTAGATACTTTCACATTATCCTGAGTCACAGAGATGTTTTCAGTATTTTGCAGTCCAGGGCAGCTGATGTCCGCAGCATCATTGTCCTGCAACACCACAAACTGAGGATGGTTGCTGTTTTCTGAAGAATCCACTGACTTTTCTTCCCTAATGATCGCCGTCTTCTGTGTTTTAGTGGGCTTTTAAAAACAGAAAAAGAGAACAATTTATGTCAACACGGAAGAAATGTATTATTGCGGTATACACTACTGTTCAAATGTTTGGGGTCAGTAAAATATTTTGTAGTGTAGATTTTGTAATGTTGTGAAATATTATTACAATTTAAAATAACTCTTTTCAGTTTGAATATATTTTGAAATGATTTATTCCTTTGATGGCAAAGCTGAATTTTCAGCACTCATTACTAGTCATTAATTGACATGTTCCATCAGAAATCATTCTAATATGCTGATTTGGTGCTCAAGAAGCATTTCTTATTATTATTAATGTACAAAAGAGTTGTGCTGCTTAATATTTTTGTGGAATTTAGTTTTTTTTTTTATAAAGAGTTCTTAGTCTTGAACCAATCCAACAATCTCCGAGATTAATTAAACATTATAAACTTTAATTGTAATTGATGTAGCATTGTAAATGATTTAATCAAATAATGATAAATGGTGTTTAAAACTACTGCCTCGTAGTCATAGATTATAAGCATAAAACTATTTATTTGAACATAATTGCAAAATATTCAAATATTTACAATTAATATTAAATTCATTTCAGAATGTAATGAGAATTATTTTTCTGATCACTGTTTCGAATTTGGGTATTGTAGTTCTACACCGAAAAACCATCAGTTAGACATATCAAAAAGAGATTTTTACTTTTAGAACCAAACTGTTGCACTCTATTATGCGTGAATGACTTACTGTTTTCACATGGTCAGTGTCTATGATCTCCTCCTGTCCCCAGCTCACAACAATGGCAATTTTCTCAGCAGAGACTGCAATGGCACAGCAGATCATAAAACTTAAAAGATTTGCTCTGAGAAGCACAGTGGTGTGGATGAAGCATAAGCATTGAATCTCACCTAGAGAATGTTGGTCAGTGGACTGACTTCTTTGTGGACAACTGCCGGTAAGATTAGTCTCTCCTTGTAGAGTCTTGTGCTGTTTCTCAGATTGCTTCGGTCTTGTTTTCAAGCCATCCTGTGCACTCGGAATCATTTCATGGTGCAGAAGTGCAGAGAAAAGCTGGCATATTTTCTCCACAGCTTCCTTTGCGTTACGTGTTAACACAGAGTTCAGCTGGGTCTGAAATACAGGAACAAATCAATAATAAATTAGCCTAAATTAACATGTCATTCAGTACGGATTAGCTACAGGACCTGACAGGATCATTTTTTCTTACAATCATTTTGATAACAGGATTGTTATCCAATGTCTGAGCTAGAGTAATGCAGTCAATTCGTAAACAAACTGAGAAACTGGAATGAAATGATTTTTAATGAAATGGGTGTCACAACTTTAAGGAATTTTACAATTTTTTACAAAATGGTAAATATTACGTTTAAATGATCACTTTATCTGTGACTCTGAGCCTCAGAGATACTTGTATTTGATTATTCAATAAACACATTTCATTATATGTTAATTAAATCCTTCAGGTTATGAACTATGGCTTAAATACAAACGCAGCAAGCAAGAAATACGGTCATTTCGTGCACTTTTCCTACACTTACTGTAAAGTCCAGGGTGGCTGACTTGTCTGCTGTAATTTGTGGAGGTTTGCCTGAAGAGTCCACGACTTTCGACATTTCATTGACCGTTGCCTTTACGAGTGTCTCCAGAACAGAGACAACCTCAGACTCCAACAACGACATTATTCTTCTGTTGCTGTTTTTGGCAAGAGACTGAACTCATAATGCTCTCTTGAATCGAGTAGTGAAGCACTTGTGCTCACTGCTGCCCCTCACTGGACTGGAGTTTATATGCGGCACAGTTGTTGCTACATAACGTTTGACAAAACCTTACAGATATACAAATATATTTAATTTTAAAATAAATGTACACACAATTCTATAAATATATTATATAATACATAAATTATATATTTATATATATTTTTGTGACCTACTTGAGGTTTTGTTTAAGGTGACAAAATGAAGAATTTTTCACTGAATATTGAATATTTACTGAATTTTTGAATATTTTATGACAGCAGAAGCAGTCAATGTCCTCATGTTGTTGGGCATTTTACAAAAAAAAGGCATTTTTTTGCACACATCACAATATTGTGCCAATCAGGGAGAAACACTTTCCACAGGTGTCGCATCGGTACGGTTTTTCGCCCGTGTGCACCCTCTGGTGCATGTATAAGCTTCTTTTGATTGTGAATCCCTGTCCGCATATTTCACAGGTAAACGGTTTGACGTCAGCGTGAACCAGTTCGTGCGCTGCAAGATCTCTGAAGCTCTTTCCGCAAGTAGCGCAGGGAAATTTCTTCTTCTCGAACTTCTGCGAGTGTTTGCGAAGGTGAGTCTCTAGCGCTCTCAGCAGTGTGAATTTCTTCCCGCACTTTTCACAACTGTGAGGCCTCACGATTGAATGCACACGTTTGTGCTGCACGAGAGAAAACATCTTTGGAAAGGCCTTTCCGCACTGCTCACATTCAAAAGACTCTTTCGCTTGTGGAACTTTAGGTTGATTGGTTGATGTCTGCAACACACCTTCCTGATCTTCAGACCAACCCCTGTCATCAGCTGCAGGTGAAATAAAAACAACAGCAGGGTCAATCAACATCAATCATGGTCTATTCATATATTCAGATTAGTACATTTAAAATAATTTACACTGATAAAATAGTACACAACATAAGCAAAAATATGCATCAAGTCAGTCAATAAGGTCAATTTCAGGCTGACTTTCAGAAATTAATACAGCTCTTTCCAATATACAGTATAATACAAATTATGCAATGTTATATTTATATAATAAATTGAGATTTTTTATTTTTTTTAATGGCGGTCTAATGCTATTTCATGCATTCTGACTTATTTACACCGTTAAAGTGTTGGATTCTCATGCTAAACATGGCCAAAGTTTCAAAAAATGAGTTGGACGTATGACCAAGTATTTCTGTGCCAAATCCACTCCATCAGGGTTTGAATAAGTTTGGGAAAGTTTTTATCAAGTATGGCTCTGTATGACATCATAAAGGGCGGAATTCCTTGTATGGGCACTTCTCCCGGAAGAGCGTGTGCACACAGCAACCAGAGCGAGAGCACGCCCATCAACATGCTTCATTCGTTAATTCATTAGTCATAGTTAATTGAAGTAAAAAAATGCTTCATTCGTTAATTGCAGACGATCGCTATGCAAAAGCTTTGCGTGCTAAATATGATAAATATAATCAAACTAAAGACTCTTTGGAGATATGAAGAATGCAGTACTACTCTATAGGTACTCAAGATTAACATGAGACTGGCGGAACTGTGTGTGTTATGTCCCTTTAAAGAACTCTTGAAGATTATTAAAGTTTAAATTGAAAAACTTCAGCATTTAAACATTTAAAAACTTTAATACATATCAACGTTATTTTAATATGAATTATATACATTAGTTTATATACATACATTATTAATAATTTTACTTTTTTAAAAGTTTGATTAATTTTGTTATGTGCTTTCGTTATTTTTTTCATATTTTTATTTAGCTTTAAAATTGATTTCGGTTTCAGTCATTTTAGTACTTAAAATTAATGGCAACTAACTGAAATAAAATAAGTTTGTTTCTTCTAATATTTATATTTTATTTCAGCTTAATTTCAATTTAAAAAAAAAGTTAAATAGTTTTAATTAGCAATATCAACACTGACATATAAATGAGCACATGCAAGTGTGGAAAATGTGTAAGAGGGTGAGAAATTTCAGACTAAAAGTTGAGTCTCTTACCGTCACTGATGAATATTGTCTGGATGGTTTCCTCTCCTCTGTCCTCCATCATAAGACACTTGCTTACATTACTTTCCTGTGCAGGCTTGTTATTTTAATATGAATTATATACATTAGTTTATATACATACATTATTAATAATTTTACTTTTTTAAAAGTTTGATTAATTTTGTTATGTGCTTTCGTTATTTTTTTCATATTTTTATTTAGCTTTAAAATTGATTTCAGTTTCAGTCATTTTAGTACTTAAAATTAATGGCAACTAACTGAAATAAAATAAGTTTGTTTCTTCTAATATTTATATTTTATTTCAGCTTAATTTCAATTAAAAAAAAAGTTAAATAGTTTTAATTAGCAATATCAACACTGACATATAAATGAGCACATGCAAGTGTGGAAAATGTGTAAGAGGGTGAGAAATTTCAGACTAAAAGTTGAGTCTCTTACCGTCACTGATGAATATTGTCTGGATGGTTTCCTCTCCTCTGTCCTCCATCATAAGACACTTGCTTACATTACTTTCCTGTGCAGGCTATAAGGGTCTCAACCAACATTTATCACACTGTAAGTTATATCTTTAAAAGAAGTTCCTCTTTAAAACTGCATTGTATTATTACTCACGTCAGTGCTTGAAGGGTGCTGGTGAGATGTTGTTGCTGGCTCCTTCAGAGGACTCACAGAGAGAGATACAGAATCTACTGTAAGAAAGGAACACAAAACAAAACTCACCACAAATACTAAGATAAAGGACGGAGAGTGCTAGAGTTAGTCTTCAGGCTTGCAACTCGTGTGGCCTGATATTGACATCTATATCAAGTACCCTGAAACTCTTGGTTATGGATATATGTTGCTCCACTGAGATCACGTCCCAACTGAGATGAAGTCTTCCTCAGGTCGTCTCGACCATTCAAACATAGTTGTGCTGGACCTGGTGCACTGGATGAACAGTATCTGAAGAGACTGCAAATCTTCTGCACTGCTTCTTTGGCAAACCTCTCCATTATGGAATTAAGCTGCATTGAAGAAGAAAAAATAAATGCTACAATTAAGAACAAAAATAACACTATAAGAATAAAACAATTAATCAGGCTGTAAAAATAAGGGATGGTTCTCTCTAACATATTACAAAAATCCATGTTAAAATTCCTTAATAACAGGCTTTCTTACCATCTGAATCTGAGTATTGTTTGGTTTGATAGTGACTCTGGATTCATCGGAGCTGCATGTAAAAGCCTTTCGGATCTCGTGATTAGCAGTGTCCGTCAGGACTGACACGATCAGAGTGGCTTGACTCTGAAAAAGCTCAAACCGGGCCATAGTGATCACAGTTCAGAGAAATGCAGCAAAATCAACTCAACCTGTGTTTAACAGTTGGTACTGCCAGATTGAGAAGAAAATAAACAAAACGTTGAACTCCCTACAAAGTTGAACTAAGCAGTAAGTACTTCCTCTTTGTTTAATTTTAAAATAAAAGTCTCTCAATGATCGGCATTCGCTGAAATAAAAATGGCTTATGTTATGACTAACAAAAACAACGTAAGGAGTTTAAAATTCAGTGGTACATTGTTGAGGGCATTAGACTGTTTTGGATCAATTTGATCTTACAATGGTTTTGCTAAGACCCATTATAGACCTGTGACTGGAACAAATATACTTCCGAAACAGATTTCCAAAATAAAAGTCGTTGAACGCTCTCTAATTACAAAAGGAATCATACAATTCTTAATTACGTTTCTCTTGTTATTTATTTGCATGCTTAAGGTTAGTGGTTTAATAACAAGTGCTGTAAGTTTATTTGAGAGACTTCAGATACCATTCTTGACGAGTTTTTCTGGAATTTCTGACTGGATAAGGATTTTTTAAATATATATTTTATATCAGATAAATTCGCTAAGGAATCAGTCAGATCACTTTGTAAAACAGTTTGAATATTCATTGAAAAGTTGAACACTTGATTCACAACAAGCTCTATACAATTGGCAGTACCTAGCTGATGAAATAATTTATATCAGAGCACATCTAGAAACATTTTGATTCACTTTTAAAATGTCCATATTTTCAATAACTTTCTCAGGCCTGGAAAACACAATGAACACAATATAAATTTCCTCATATTTTCAGGTTTTCCATCACCACGCCAACGTATTAACAGTTATTACTATGTGAACGTAGCATGATAGTATTAATCACTTTTTTTTTTTTGATATAGGTCCATATTATGCAACATTAAAAATAACAACAGCTTGTTCAGCCTAATGTTTTATTTAAATGTCTTCACAATGTTACCCAAACATTTGTCTAGGAAATATTACAATATGAAAAGAGTCCTGCAGTTGTTATAAGTTCCTACCACAACATCTTTTTCATACAGGTTTGCATTTGTGATCATTGTAATGCCTAAGATATACATAATTCTTCCCACACTTCTGGCATGTGTAGGGTTTCACGCCAGTATGGATTTGCATATTTGCTTTGACATGGTCGAGTTCTGCAAACCCTTCCCCACAGACCTTACAGCTGAACGGCCTCTCCCCAGCATGGGCACGCTTGTGTCGCTTTAAATTTCCATACAAGCGAAAGCTCTTTCCACACGTCTCACATTTGTGCATTTTTTCATCAGTATGAGTCTTCATATGCATTTTCAGAGAGCCAGACCACTTGAACGCTTTCCTGCATGCTATGCATTTATAAGGTCTATCTCCCGAATGGCACAACATATGTGTTTTAAAGGACTTTCTGAGAGCGTAGGCCTTACCGCAGACCTCACACTTGAACGGGGTCTCGCCCGAGTGAAGCTTCTCGTGTATGCTAAGATTATATATGTTGCTGTAGCTCTTCTCGCACAATTTGCATGTAAAAGGTTTGCTGTTGTCTGAATGTAGCTGTAGTTGAGTTTTTAACACAGACTTTGACTTCAGAAACTGCTCTTCTTCTGAATTTCCAGTATGATTGTGTGATAAAATATGGCTCTGTAGCAAAAAATCATGCTGGAATGTTTTTCCACACATTTCACACTTAAATTGTGTCTCTTCGTGCACCCGCATGTGGACTTTTAAATTGCTTCTCTGGCGAAATCTTTTACCGCACACTTCACAGATGTACGGCTTTTCGCCGGTGTGAATGAGGATGTGGCGTGTCATAGCTTCATGATGCGCAAATGTTTTACCACAGATTTTACACGTATATCGTCTCTCACCAGTATGCACAGGAAGGTGGCGCCTCAAATGACTCTTGCACTTGAAGCTCTTATTGCAGTGGCTGCATTTTATTGGCCTGTCATCTGAATGAAACTTCTTGTGGCAGTTTAGGGTGCCTATTAGAGAGAAACTTTTCCCACAGGTGTCACATGTGTACGGTTTTTCGCCCGTGTGCACCCTCTGGTGCATATATAAGCTTCCTTTGACTGTGAATCCCTGTCCACATGTATCACAGGTAAACGGTCTGACTTCCTCATGAACCCGTTCATGAGCTGCGAGATCTTTGAAGCTCTTTCCACAAGTAGCGCAGGGAAATGTCTTCTTCTCGAACTTCTGCGTATGCTTGCGGAGATGAGTTTCTAGCGCTCTTAATTGCGAGAACTTCTTCCCGCATTTTTCACAACAGTGCTGCTTTATGACCGAATGCACACGTTTATGTCGAAGAAGAGAAAACATCTTTGGAAAGGCCTTTCCGCACTGCTCACATTCAAAAGACTCGTTATCAGGTTGCTCGGCTGATGTCTGCAACACGCCTTCCTGATCTTCAGACCAACCCCTGTCATCAGCTGATGAAAAAACAACACAAAAATACAACATTTGTTGATCATATAAGCTATCAAAGATCACATGAAATGCCTTTTCTTACCATATTTCCTGAAACAAGAATTTGGTGATATATCAAAGGGCTTTTTTGTTTTAAATATCAAATAGCCTTAAGTCTATATGAGTGGTTCTCAACCCTTTTGACTCAAAGACCCCCCTGTTGTCCAACACAATATTTAAAGTCTTCCCAATATAGGGTTTTCTGGTATTTCTGCTGTAATTATTACAAAGCTGCTTGTTTTCACATTTTTTTAATTAACAGAAACTGGACGTATTGATATATTACCCTGTAAAGCTTGACAGATGAAATAATCAGAACAATCTATTTTTTAAAATGGAACAGTTTAATGAAACTTTAAATAAAACATTATATATATATATACTGTGCACATGTGTTTCATGTTATGGATCATATTTGATACATCAGGCTTTTATGATTCATATACTATAATATAATGAAAATATGGAGCTCATACTTAAGATGTTTAAAAAAAAAACACCTCACATTTATTCAGAGCCCAAACTGAGGAAAAGTATGCAATTTGGTGCAGATGTTATTTATTTATATGGCCAAAAAAGTAAGATGAAATTCTGATGTATCGTAATGTAAATCAAAGAAATCTTCATAACAGTATAGCAGGCTACTTACATAAAATGCATATGAATATGAGTTGAAATAAAGATCCACATATAAGCGTTCCTCAAAAGCCTGTTGTATCATATCTGATACTCATATTTTAACATGGTTTTCCGAAACATTAGAGCGTGCAGAATCATGCACCATCAATATGTTTTTGAAGGTAAACTCAAAATATTAAGACTTTTTAAGAATTCTAAATGCACGAGTTGAGCTTTAAGAAAAACATAAGCTAAAATAAGGGGCAGAAATCAGGGCAAAAATGGGGTCTTACTATGTACAACAAACAGCAGCTGTACTTATTCATAAGCTAATGTAAATGACAAGAAATAAAATTGCTAGTATAAGAACTACCTTACCATCACCTATGACTACAGTCTGAATGTTGTCTTCTGCTCTGTCCTCCACTAAAAGACATCTGCTTGCATGAATCTCCTGTGCAGCCTATAATTCACATCACATGGAAATGTTTTACGTGTAAACACTAGACAAACAAATACTACTAGAAGTTTCAAATACATATTATATACCATAACAGCACTTCAAACTGTATGGCCATTTAGATATTATATTCCTTGACTAACTATCTATCTATCTTAAAATGACTGATGAGAGAGGATAGATACAAGCTACTCACCTGCAACCATACTGCTACTCAAGTTACAACAAAAATGTCAATAACAAAAATTCTTACCACCTGAGTGTCGTTTTGATTCATGTTGAGATGAGGTTCAGCAGAGCTGCATGTCTTTGGTGTGTCCGGTGTTACGAGATTTTTGGTTTCTGAGATATTCGGTTTCCG